AACCCCCCCCCCACCGCCCTCCAATTTAGAAACTTAATTAATGGAATCATGTTTTCTTCTTTCCACTATAAATATTTTATGCTTTTATAAAAATTTTGTTCGTCAATATTTTTAGATACTAAAAAAATATTGAGTAAAATATCAAAAAAATAATCTATTTAAAAGGGACAGACTGGCTATGTTAGGTAGTTAAACTGAGTATGCAGTGTTCTGGACAAATTCTTTAGGATGCATTTAAGACATATAAAACTTTACCAAGATGTATAATATACAGAGTTTGAGCGCGTTCAAAATCATGAATTTGGGTGGGTACGTTTTTTTCAGAATCGTTTTTTTAAATTGTTAAATAACGACGACGAAAAATATAGTAAAAATTCTATAGTTAACTAATTAGATGTTTAAGAACATATTTCTCAAAAGAAATAATCGAAGTTAAAATTAATTTTTTCCTTTTTTATCATAATATTGAATTTCTTATTTTCTATGAATTTGTTCGCAGATTTCTTCAAATTCTTCAAATGTCGTCTTTATAATAAAAATTCCAAAAAATCTTTGTGATTTATGAGAGTTTATATAAACTAATGATTGAATAAGATTACTATTTTCAATGATAAGTTAATTTTTATTTACTCAACCTGTGCCTAAACCACTAATTACTTTACTGTAGAATTTTGTTTACATTTTTTGTCGTCCTTATTCAATAATTAAAAAACAATTCTGAAAACGTATCCACCCAAAAGTACGATTTTGAACGTCGACTTTGTGCTCAAACTTAGGATTTACGGATCTGTAAAAAGTTTTTTATGAATCCTAAAGAATTTGTCTACAACACTGCATACTCAGTTAAACTACCTTACATAGCCGGTCTGTCCCTTTAAAATGTGTTTTTATTATTGCTCTCAAGCGAACATATTATATAATTTGTTATTGTGTTTGACACATTATTTTGTTGATTATAAAAATGTTAAAATACGAGAAAAACGATAAAATTCTTAGAAAACGACATGTTGCACCTTATATGACTGTATGTACATAAATATAAGCAATATTTTAAAAGATTAAACTGTTATGAATTATCTATCAATATGTAACATTTTATGGATATTAATATTAAAATATGAACAATTATGAACACATAAATCATAATGTACATGTATTTACATGAAAAGCCGGAAAGTATTCACTGTACACAATATGACGGACAATGTAACCGCATGAAAGAATATCTACAATCTACTGAATTTTAAGGTATCTCCGGAGGTCCGATATATCCAGTGTTAACCTCCGCCTACCGGAGTAAGGTGTAGCACAGGGTTTAAGGTTGAGAATGGTTCATGTTTCATGTCTCCTGGTCTCAGGAGGGTCTATAGTTTGCAACCCAGCTCATCCTACATTATCTTCATCTTTGTACTCCAGGTAGGCAATATACCACACCACTAATCCTCCGACCAGATAATTATACAAGATATTTATGAAACCTCATTTTGAATTCTCTTGAAAACAAAATTGATTAGGTTTAACAGGTCTGATATTAATTAGATTTTCATCCTTCAGTTACAGAATGGTATGTTCAATTCACAACAATACCCTACTGCCTGTAGAGATTTCGAAGTTAAATAAAATGTTTCTGTACATGACAACCCTCTAACTCTCACCGCACTCAGCGAAATGTTGTGCAGTCTGGATGGATGGTGCCGGTGTCCTAGAGCAGTTCATAGTTTTCACCGTTTAAACACTATATTAGACATGATAACCAATACTGAAGTATTTATAATTATTAGTTAACAAAAATAAATGCGCATTTAGTTCTATAATGTATAATTAAAGGGAAAAACGCAAATATTGTTTTCCTTTCAAATATATAATAGTTTTTAATGTCCTAGTCCAATCAAAATATATTAATAAATATCGGCAAGTGTCAAAACATTGCTTTTCATGTCTAAAATTGTATTAAAATGGTGTAGACCTGCTACAAAGAAGTGTCTGGAATACATGACAGTATTTTGAAAAATCATATTTTAGTCCCCCTCAACTATTATTATGCGATTTTACCGGAGAGCTTTAGTTTTCTAGTTTCACGGGATAAATGTTCACACTGAACTTGGATTTGGCCCATTTTCTGGAAATAAGTTTTCCATGGGTTACCGGGTTTGTCACAAACTCAGATTTTTTGCAACCCAATGTCGTCGACTTTAGATATTTCAAACTATGAATTCTGACAAAACTCAATTCCTTTTCAGAATAATTTTTTTAAACAATCCAAAAATTCCAATTTTTTTCCTTCTTAACATCAGCGGTTAAAAAATTATTCTTGGACAGGTTTTCTTTCAGAAGTTTTAAAGCTCTAGGAATTCCAAAATTTCGAGCTGTAGTACTTCAGTATAAACTTAAGTTTCTACCTTACTTCACAAACCAAACTTCAGGAAAAATATATTTAATTAGCCAATGTTTTTAAAACACAAAGACGACAGGGATTATTTATAATATTAGACATAAAAAACCAATTTTTTGTATCCAATCTTCCTTTAGGTTTCCATATACGATTTTATTTCATAATTTGATTTTCACTGAGGAGGTCTTAAAGCATTATCATTAAATAATGCGATGCAAAACACATTTTAAAATGCCTAATTATCATTTCAAACATTATCTAAATAAATTTGTTTACTCGTGTATTTATATTAGGTTGCATAATTTCTTAACAGAACAGATTATAAGGCGATCATTAAATAATAATTATAGTACAGCGAATTCTGAATGAAATTGATATTTGTATTAAACTAAATGAAAAATTAAGAAAAACCGCGTATACTGCTAAGCTAAATAAACCTAGTCGAAGAATAAAATAAATATAAAAACTAAGATTAATCAAGGAACGGAGAGGAGAAAAATATTAACAAATTAGTTGAGATCTTAAATAAGTTGGAACAAAGAGGGAACTATCACATCTCTAGGTTCCCAAATTTTGAAAAGAAAACATTAATTATAAAAAAATATTTGAAGAAGACAGAATAAAAGAAATGTACAGGTAGACTTAAAATCATACATATTCAGGTACATGGGATCAACAACCAGAATCAAAATATAAACTTTATCTTCAACAATTCTTGAAAACTTTTTTATTATTTACAAAATCATCAGATTCAACCGCGGAGCCTAAACTTTTATCCTAAGAACAAAACATGGCAATTTGTATAAAGTTAAAAATTGTCTGATATTTTTTTAAAGAAAGGGGGGTTGTATGTGAACTGATCTACAATACACAGATATGCTAGGTACAGACTTGATAATTTATATTTTTGAGTTTAAGAAAAATAAATTTTTGTTTGTCTATATTTTGATTCTGAGAAATTTGGATATTGAAGACCGTCTACAGTTGCATCGTTAAGTAAGAATTGACACATCCGTACAGTAGTTTATAATCTGGTTCCCGTCACACAGTACATATACAGTACACATTTCAGGCACTTGGTTTCAAACCATTCAAGCTTCCTTCGTTGGTTTTATCTTCACTAAAATCTTAATACCAAGGTAGAACCTTACTCCAGGTTGGTTTGATAACCTTATTCCAAGCTGAAATCATACTCCAGGTTTGTTTGGTAATTCTATCCCAAGCTGGAACTTTACTCCCAGCTGGTTTAATACCGCTATCCCAAGCTAAAATCATACTCCAGGTTGGTTTGATAACTTATCCCAAGCTAGAACCATACTCCAGGTTGATTTCATAACTTATCCCAAGCTGGAACAATACTCCAGGTTGGTTTGATAACTTATCCCAAGCTAGAACTATACTTCAGGTTGGTTTGATAACTTATCCCAAGCTGGAACAATACTCCAGACTTGTTTGATAATTTTATCCCAAGCTGGAACCATGCCCAGGTTAGCTTGATAATTTACTCCCAAGCTGGAATCATAATCCAAATTGGTTAGATGTATCCATCTCAAGATAGAAGCTTACTCCAGACTAGTCTGAAAGATCTACCCAAGCTAGAATCATACTCAAGGCTTGTCTGTTAGCTTCGTCCCAAGCTGGAACCATACTCCAGGCTAGTCTTGATAACTCCATCCCAAGCTGGAACCATACTCCAGGCTGGTCTGATAACTCCAGGTTGGTTTAAATAACTCCCAATCTATAATCTTACTCCAGCCTGTCTGAAAGATTAATCCAAGCAGGAACCTGGGACCAGGTTGGTTGAAGAACTCTATTGGTGGTCTGAAAGATCCGTCTCAAGAAGAAACCCTTCTTTAGGATAGTTTGATTAACAAATAACTCAGTAATTAACTGCAGTATGATCTGAACAAGAGCGGACTGTGTCTTAAATCTTTTTCCTGTTCCATTAAAAAAATCACGTCACGTAAATGGACCCTTTTAGTTCTTGGTCTCATAGGCACAGAGCTCCCGACTTTATTATTATCGTCAAACTTAAACTTTTTACTTTTAGGTCCACCAATAGCAGCTAGGGCAGTCGCGTTGGCTTCTGAATGTCTGAAATATAAAATATTTACTTTTAAGGTAAAATTGGTCTATAAATCTTGGATACAATACAGAGTTGATTCTATTCTATCCAACCTCAATATAACAATACAAACTTTATTTTAAGTCCTGGTCGGGATTTGGAAGGTTTAGAGAGAATAATAGAATTAAAATTTCTGAGGCTTACATTAGACCTACATAGACTGATTTCGGTATCCAGAGAATTAAATTCTAATTTGAAAATCCACCAAGAGAGAATCAAAAAATATAAAAAAGCGGTAACTATATCCGACGACATAAATCTATCCGCGCCAAAGGAAATCTGGATTAGCCCGTTCTGATCTGAGGACTATCAGTGGTTTACCTTTGTTGTTCTTGTTCTATTCGTTGCAACTCCTTAGCTTTGGCTTTCATCTTTTCTTTCTCCGGATCATCCGTTTTTGTTCTAAATAATTAAACGATTAGATAACGAATTGTAACCTATCACCAAACAAACTCATTCAAAATAGTTTTATGTCCGAAACATTCAGTAAACATAGTCTTATACTTTGTTTATTCCGTTTATTCGTAAACGTGAATTAAAGCGTGTTCTGTATCGGAATTCCTTCGAAGAGAAAATACTCGCAAATATTACTTTATCACAAAGATGTAACCCGCCTAAAATTTGTTCATCAACTTTGTAAAACAGGTTAATCGAGTAGAACAGGACGGTACGTTAAAGGGTAAGGGTCGGCCAGGGTAAAAAATACATCAATAAACATTTATTAGTTAGATACATCTGCAGTTCAAGAGTCAACCACTCTGTATAGTTTCGCCCGAGACGGATTGTATCAGAGTCAAGTTCGTTACGTCTAAATACCTAGATTTTGCTGCTCGGATTAGCATCTCTCTTTCCATTTCTTCCTGTCGCTTCTTTTCCATCTTATCCAGGTCCTCCAGGAACCGTATTTGACCTTTTATATCCTAGAACATATGTTTCTTAAATCATGGACAGAATTCGATGAATTGTCGAGGACACTGAACTACATAACGCCGGTTCAAATGCTGAATCAATGATAAACTTTAAATCAGTAATTCAGGATTTGAACCGGCGTTAGATAGTTCAGCCCTAGAGTTCAAGTTCATTAAATTCGATCCCAAAAACATATTTTATTAAAATGAGAGAGGGTGGCTTGAATTTGGGATAAATGCGGAATATGTTTTCAAGAGGTTTTTAAGAAAACAAAGTTTTTGCTAAAATAATATTTATCAGAGTTTTACACAGTAAATTCTTTTCTTTTTCTTTTGGAAAACCTGAAAAATGTTAAACACATCTATATCTATAAAGTTGTAATCTCTCTTTGGATATTTGTTAGGCCGATCATAACGCAGAAACCCATAGACCGATTTGCCTCAAGTTTTGATTGGGGCACTCAGGAGAACCACGGAAATGTTCTTCGCTAGGATTTGAGATTCTAAGTTGAGTGGGTCGACTTGTATAGCGAAAATTTAGTGCAGGTAAACGGGGGGAGTAACTATAAGCTGGGTTCCCAAGCTAGTATAATGTAAAATAAAAATTAAAGAAATGCTTACATCGGTAACTTCGTAGGGTCCTTCCGTTTTAATGATATCCAGCCTGTGCTCTGCTATGACGGATAGTTTGGATACTAGAGTCTTGAGTCTATCCTGAGTAGCGTGAGAAACTAAACCAATCACCTCGGCAGAAGGAGGTTCCAAACCCTGAACAATACCATTATCAATCCTGGAGAAGTTTTAAACAGACTGGTATTTGATACACTTCTTAACATCTTAACCTTGCGTTTATCCATACCCCCATACTCAATTTCCAGACCGGATCTAGTTTCTAAATATTACCTTTTCTTTACAAATTCTAGATATTTTCTGATGCAATAACCCAGTTTGAAGGAAGGTTTCATCTTTACAAGATCTTATCACAGTTCCAACATTGTCCGTAGACCCAAGAATTCGCTGAAAATATAAAAAAATCAATTTGGATTTAAAACAAAATGTTCAGTTTAAATGTCTTTTAGTATCGTAAATTTCCAACTTTTCATGCTAGGAGTGTTTATAAGAAACTGGTCGACCCTCTTTCTACAAAAATCTTATGAATATTAAATCCGTTTAGAATATAAAAAAATTAATTGACAGAATAATATAAGCGTTTACTTGTAAGCAGTGTAGCATAGGATCTGGATTCTCAATAGTTTGCAGATAATAAAAAATATACGATTCTCGGATCCGGATCCATGCAACAAAATATCCCAAAAATACCAGGGTTGGCATGAAAAAACCCAGCCCAAAAAAACCCACTCAAAAAAATTTCTGATCCTGTTCCTTATAATAAGAATGGAATGAATTCTAAGCATAAGATATCTGGAGGAAGAAATTTAAGATAAATTAAGGATAGTTCAGACATGAACTATTCTTCAGACTGCAGTCTCAAGTTCTCACCAAGTAACATCAACGACAAGAAGAAAACATAAAAGAAGAATGAGCGGAAAAACATGTTATATAATGCAGAGTTAAATTCTCATGGAAACTTCAGACAAGGAAAACATCTTTGTTCATAAGTTCTTAAAACACAAGAAGAGTATAAACGAAAACTATTTAAAAACACACGAGAGAGGCAAAAATGAAAAGCAAGAAGTAATTGAACTGGATATGAATAGTTGAATTTCATATCGACTGTAGTCAAGAGAAGTATTTTAACAAGAAAAAATAAATTTACAACTTCTTGATATTCATAAAATCCAGTCTCTCTGGTTTGAATAAAGTAGAGTACACTTACATTAGCCTCCTCTTGAAGATTTACTCCGCCCATAGCGGCAACATCGTTAATATCGTCGTCACCGGCCGCCGAGTAACTATTACCAGCGGACTTCTTGTCTCTTATCACAGGTTGAGAACTATTGGACAGGTTGGACTAAATTAAAAAAAAATTAAAGGGATAGTTCGTAGAGTATAAGAGGAGGTGCTTATCAAAATGGGGGGATTTATTATCAGCTTTCAAGTTTCAGATTGGAGGTCCTCACTATATGTATTATGTACCTCGGTTTTGCATCTTGGGACAATTTGTATTATTATTATATAGGTTTCAGCACACGACCAAATTCATACAATGTTGCCATAATAAGGCACTTTTCAGTGCTGAATTGACATTAAAGATTTAAAAGCAAAAAAAAATAGGTGTTTACTGTTTACCCTCTGTAAGCTGAAGATTTAAGGATATAAGAAGACAGCAAAGGTTAATGTAGAGTAATTCCTTGGTTAATTTCGAGCGAAAGAAAAACTAGAAGAATACGATAATCTTATGAGAACTTCCATTATTACATTTTTTCCTCATAAGATTATCATATTCTTTAATGCTTGGAGCGTGTAAGAATATACATTCCTTCACGCTCTGACCGTGTAACAATTTCCGTTCTTACACGGTCTGAACGTTAAAGAATAAAAATTATATACCTACCGTTCTTAAACGCTAGGAAGCGAACAATATTGGAAATTTTTTCTCCTGAACCGTGTAATAATGGGAATTCTTACACGATAGGTTTACTACTATGGAACCGAACAGATATGACAAAATAGAAAATATACAAGATGTACCTTGTACATATTTAAAAACACAGAAATTTTACGGGTTATTTGAGACTTAAAACAAAAAAATGTGTAATTTCAACAGTTTGCAGAAACATTCTTTAAAATGACTTGATGGAAAATATATAATAAGCAATTGATTAAACATCAGAGGGGAATTAATACCTAGATGTTTAAAAGGTCTCAATAAAAAAAATCTGAACGGCGCCAAAATACTCGGATAAAATATACCTGGGGTTGAGGCATAGAGAATCCTGGTCTACTGCTACTCATGGAAGATACATTAGAAAACTCTAGAATAAAAATAATACAATTAGAAAACTCTAGAATAAAAATAATACAATTAGAAAACTCTAGAATAAAATAATACAATTAGAAAACTCATGCGATTAGAAAACTCTAACATGAATATAATGCAATTAGAAAACTGTAAAGTTCAATTTATTTAGAAACCAATAGAGAGATTTCGGATGAAAACTTACTAATTGGATTAGATTATTTAAATTATAAAAATTATGAAGAAATTATCTAAATTATTGATCTTGAGAGTGAAGGTTACCTGGACGGGTGTAAGTAGACCGAATTGGAGTAATAGGTCGGTTCACAAAAGGAGCAACAGGTCGGGATATAGTTCCAATACCACCTGGAGCAGGAGTGTTTATTCTAAGCTGGGTCGGGGGACCGGCGGTTACCGCCGGCGGAAGTTTCCCCACAGCGTTTAACGGTGGTGGTCGGACCCCCTCTATGCTAAGCTCTAGTGTGGCTAGTGAGTGCTGAAGATATGGAAGGCTTTTCTTGAGGAAAGGAACAAGGCAGGGTTGAGGAGATGAGTTTAATTCTTTCTGCAACTTTGTTGTGAAAATTTCAGGTTCAACACGTCCGTCTATCAAACCCTGAACAAAAGATTTCAAGACACTGAAGAAATATAAACAAGAAAAAAATTTGGTGAATTATTTGTGGTTTTTTTTTGGGTGAGAGAATCATCGTATCAAGGGCTTGAATGAAGAGGGACATACAAGTTTTAGAAATGATAATTCTTTAAATAAGGAGGAAAAGTTATTTCTGTTAAAAAAGGTTTCCCTGATACACCTACCCTTTAAGGTTATGGACGAGGGGCGGCCGAAATTCAGAAAAAAAATATTCTTGTAATATCAAATGCTCCACATAGAAAAAAATAATCTGTAAGAGGAATATACAAGATATGATCTTCAAGAAGCCACACCACATCATACATCGAAGCAGGTCTAACCTGAATTAAAGCTCGAACATTCTTGGCGACTCCCTCGGGTTGATCACTCGCCAGCCGTAGTAGAGTTGCCAAAAAGTTTTTACATTTGATCTTAGCTGTATCAGGCGTCATCTGCTGACCCATACTGTTACTAAAATAATCAGAATTATCGTAACAGAAGGTCGAACCTGTCCATTTCAGATTCTAATTTTAATTCCTGGGAAATCTGAACCTGTGAATTCTTGAACGAAATCAGATAAAGTTAAGCTACAAGCTTCCACAATTTGAAAAAATATTACAAAATTGATTATTGTGGTCAAGATGAAAAAAACAATTTGTTCAAAATCGACCTACATGAATTTACTCTTGAAGATGATACATGACTGTACAAGGTCTATATTAGAATTCTAAGGGTTTAGTTCACATTACCTTGTTTTGTATGTTTTTACAAAAATTCAACCCACTCAACTTTAAACTGAGTACATTCTCATGGTTGTAGCAAGTTCATAAATCAAAATTTGATGCAAATCGGTCAAGGAGTTCGTAAGATATGATCAGACGTACCTACGCAATATAGATTACTTCTATAAATATAAAAATAATACCTAGCAGCAGCAGCTGAAGTAGCTGTTGCCTGTGGTTGCGACTGCTGTGGTTGAGGCGAACTCACCGCTGTCGGCTGTGCAACAGATCGGACAACTGTTGGCATGGTTGGCTGACGCATTTGATGCACCATCGGCGCTGTTGTACGCATCGCTTGCACAGATGTCACAGCTACAGCAGTGGGTCTCATGACAGTTGTGACGGGCTGTGGAACAGTTGAAATGTTTGATTGTGGTCCCGGTGGTCCAACTCGTAATATTTGATATTGTCCTGTCTCTGTTTTCACTAGAAGATGACCGGGCTGCCCGGTGGGTATACCCTGGCCGGCCTGGAGACCCTGTAGGGTTGCTAGAGGAACTGTTATCTGTGCTCCGGGTTGACCGGGTCTGCTACCGTTCTGTCGGATCACTATGTTCTGTACCCCGGCGCTCGTGGAAGGAATCTGAAAAATTCAAATAGGTTTTATTTGAAAAAGAAAACTCGAACATCCTTTTACAAATCAGTTCAAGCAATTGACAAGGCTTTTGCGAATTCACTCTCTATAATGGGTAAAATCTTTAACAATTTAGAAAAAATTGTTCAAAATATAGAATATAATTTACAGATAAAAACTACTTACAGTTTGCATCCCAGGCTGTGGTCTGATCATCTGGTTTTGCATAGGACCGGTCGGACGATGTCCTCCGACCATTATGCCCGAGGTTCGGACGAGCTGAGCTCCAGGCAACACCTGAACAGGCTGACCCTGCGGCCGTGCTACCATGATCGGACCCTGTCCTGTCTGAACAATACGTTGACCGCCAGACGCCATTGTCAACTGTATCTGGCTAGAATAGAAACATATTGTAATTCCTAGATTCTTCTTGTATCTTATTCCATGAAATCTGCAAAACGCGATAATATATCAAGATGTAACAATTTTAAAAACTTGGTGTGGAAAATTTAAAATAATTTGTGTAAAATTAGGGGGAACATAAGAATAAAGAAGATTGGATAAGGTCCATGAGGCCCAGGAAATTTAAACAATAGAATATAAGCACCCTTGTATGCAAATTGCATGCGTACACTACTCCACCCCAGAAAATGAGGAAACTAGTCAAATAAGAATACATAACATACCTTCTAAAGAAAACTACTGTACCAGAACCTCTTCTTCGTAAATTATCTGAGGTTTGATTAAGTCCCTGCAATCAAACATTGATTAAAATTCTCAATGCAAGAACAGGAATGAAAATCTATTATGACAATCATAGAATAGAATCACATAAGCAAAATCAAAAATATCCCAAAAAAAACCTGTAAGGATTGGCTCAGTCTTAGAGAAGGATTTTTGCACCCCCTTCCTTCACCAAAAACTGTACATGTAATTTGTATTATTTCAGGTCGGGTTAGATAAGGTTAAGACACTTATTGGACCGAGTGCTGCGGCAAGGGAACGTTGCGGATATAACGGGCCAGGAGGCCGGGCGCTGCGGCCACTTATTAAACATTTCATGTAAAATTTCAGATGTAAGGAGAAGGGGAGGGGCGTGAGAGACCAAAAATCCTTTTCTAGGAAACAACCTAGAATTTAGATACGTTTAAATTGCATTCTGACAAAAAACTACCAGAATTAATTAGAAACCTTAAAAATCAACCTGAGTACACACCCAGAACTTGGATAATGTCACCAAACCAAATATTCCATTTCATTTCAGCATCTCTTTATTCTTCAATGTATACTTCTGAAACAAACCACTGATAACCTTGTGTCGCGAATTAGAATGTAAATAAAATAAATAAACGCGCGCCGCTCACATTAAAATGGTTTAAACGGAGTAATTCTGTGTGATAAAAAACAAACCACATGGGAATTCAAGACTCAAATAGCAAGAATTATTTTACATGATAGAAAATCTGAACTGGGAGCTAAAAAATGTGTAACGACCGAAGGCAACTAAGGATAAATTTACTTGATAACAATTAACAAGAAAATAATGGGTTCATTTTTAAAACCGAACAATAGTTATATTTTATAGCTTAAGGGTTGGGTAACACGATTATAATTGTGTATTTTACACGTCAATACAAATTTACATCAGGAAAAAATACATTCAATAGAAACTTGAAAATCTCCTGATCACAATTTCACTCAAAATTTCACCAATCTATCAAAATTTCACGATATTTATCCGTTATCACTTCAAGAGAAGATTTCGTGCGGCCTCATTGTCAGCCATCTTGAAATTGCCCCAGACTCAACCGTCGGAGTACGGTGGGGGTGATACACTGAATGATTTTCCGTGTATTTAGACTTTCCCAGGAACAGACTAGCAGCCATTATAACAGTCAAAATCAACAATTCGTCATTTTTCGACTAAATGCTTTCTAAATCTACAACAAAATCGTATTTTCTTACAAACACCTAAACCAAAAATTCTTCAAACATGTCAAATGGACAAGGATAAAAAATATTTAGAGAATTGAAATTCTTCTTGTGTAAAATATCCTTAAGTAGGTTTCTACTTATGTCTGCAGGTGTGTACCCTCAGGTACCGGTCCGACGCACTCCAAAACCGGTTTTTGAAGTACACCATTCTAGCAGAAAAGCAGAAAGAAGTAATAGTTACTAGTATAGTGCGCAATATATTCTGAAGGCGTAAACACGTGGTGCAATTAATTGTCGTTAATGTATTTTTTATCAGTGAAATTATAAATTTTGTTAGTATTTGTTTTAGCAGTTTATTTTTTCCCGTAAAAAATGTTCAGGGATCAGTGATATATCCGTTTCTGGTGACAATAATATCGTTAAAAATGGGGATGAGAATGCGGGGAATTGTTAAGTACAAACTTGACGTATACTCCGCCCACTCTTCTGCACGAAATCAATTTTTGAAAAAAATAACTAATAATTCTCTATCTTTTAAGACAATTTATTAGGTCATGTGTGACCNGCTTTTCTAATGAACATGCGGAACTCTCCTCTTGCTAAAACGCCTCCAAATAACATGCCTTGTATTCCTGGTAGGATATTAATTTTTTTTCTGTCGTAAAAATGTTACTTCAAGTGTTTGTGTGCTAAAATCGTACCGTCAAGATTTATTTTAAATGTCATTATTATTGTGAACTTGAAAAGATCCATGAACAAAATTGATAAGAGGGGGGCGGGTCCAAAAATCGCTGTGTAGGAATTTACCGAGTATTTCGTTTGTGAAATGCAGGTTCATATGAAAATTAGGCCAAGTATTAAAGGTGCAATGTAACGGAAACCTAGAGTGGTAAATTTGAAATGATTTTTAACTTTTAGAAATCTGGAATTTTCAAATATTAACTGTATAATTATACTAAATCGAGTTTTAGCCAAGTTCAGTTTATTATAAGTGGAGTATTAAAGGGGTTAAGTGTAAAGGTCTTTCCTAGTAACGGATTTTGGATCCCCCCTCCCCCCTCCTATCAATTGCGGCTAGGACAGGCTACGAGCGCCGCGGCTAGGACAGGCTAGGGGGCTGGACGCTGCGGCCACATGACCAATTATATCCATGTGTGTGTGATAGGAAATTACCAATTTAAGTGACCCTTTGCATGTCCGATTCAGAACGGTACCCTTAAAGCTTTATCTGAGCATGTGTGAAACATATATCAAAGTTTAAAGTTCTTTGTGACATGACCTGCATTTTACCCCATGCAAGGATTCAAGGCTTTATGATTGTCTGTTTTCAGTATCATGTACTTTCAGATAAGATGTCTGCATCCCCCATGGCTCGTGCTACAACTATCGGTCAGGATATACCTAGACGAGTTGTTATCAATAACGAGGATGATATGCCTGATGATTACAGTACAACACCAGGCTAGACACCAAATATTACACAAATCTTCACATATATAAATATATTTAAAAATGTATCCGAAATTCTTTATATCCTGAAACGGAATATTATGTTAAATATTTTGGCTTCTCTTTTATAGGTTCATACAGGTTCATGTTTGTAAAAAACCAATTCTCACAGAAATGTAGCAAAGATTAAACTGCAGGACCGTAAGCGAGGGGAGGGGGGCGGAATGGGTGGTTGCCCCACCTGTGACTCATTCCTCAGGATCAAATATAAATCAATACATTAATTTTTCAAAGATAGTACAGTGACAAATAGGTCAGAAAGGTTGTTTTAGAGTGTATTTTGTGGTAATCAAGCTAGAATTAATCTCTCTATAACTTGTATTATCAAAAACAGAGATGTATGGATATATGCTTGATGCAATATAAAACTACAGAGATAGAATGACTTAATGATAATTTAAACTTAAATAATTGTGTAAGCAAGTTATGAACATCATGAAATTCAAGCTTACCAGAAAACGTCAAAGTTAAGGTCAATCTAAGTGATAAGCATGATGATAAATCTATGTTAAACATATTATATCTCCGAAATCAGGCTAGTGACCAGTAATAATTACTAAATTTTACTAGAACCGCCCCCCTACGTTCATAGGCTTCCAGTTACGGCCCTAAAAAAATTTATCGTCGTGTAAAATCAGTGCAAATGCAAATGCTATAAGCTAGAATGATTTATGATGTATAAATATCAGTATTCTGAATACAGTACATGTTTATTACTGATTCACACAATTTATTGCAATTGAGAAATGATTTTGATGCTGTAAAACGTTAGAATAAAGTGGCTCAAATACACAGGAATCACCAGTCACCACACCTGTCGGTTTGCAAAGAAAATATGAATAAAATTGTGCTAGCTATTCAGATTTTTTGAGACACATAGATTCTTATTGGTTTTAAGATAATCAAACATTATAAATAAATATAATAAATTTCTTATCGCGCTTATTCAACTTAGATTTGAACTAGTTTGACTGGTTTGAATCATATAGAAAGATTATTGTTAAATGAACTTTTGTTACCTAGTACGAAAATACGATTTGTTTTACACACCCTTACTTGAGAACCCAGCTTTGTCTGGAAATATAAACTGTCCCTTCAAAAGTCAGCTAACTCAATTTTGACATTTTTAACCAAGCTATTATTCCTATTTGTTGAAGTTTCCCAATTGAAATTTGAGGTAGATTTGTTAATGTGGTTTTTAGTTATGATCATGCATATAATTATAGAAATAGAAATTACTACTTATAATATATATATATATGCAATATATATACAGGGTTCATCGTTGTAAACCTGACATTTAACAAATCAAAATATTGGTTGTTTGGCTCAGGTGGAACTATTTTTGGAACAACGCCCGGTGGTACAAAGATAGTTTACGAAAGAGCTTTTCTAATGAACATGCGGAACTCTCCTCTTGCTAAAACGCCTCCAAATAACATGCCTTGTATTCCTGGTAGGATATTAATTTTTTTTCTGTCGTAAAAATGTAACTTCAAGTGTTTGTGTGCTAAAATCGTACCGTCAAGATTTATTTTAAATGTCATTATTATTGTGAACTTGAAAATTATTGATTAAAGCTGTTTTGCATCAGAATTATCAAAATTAACCATTATCTTCAGTTTAGACTTTTACGAGCTAATACGAAATGAGATCTGCAAGAATCGATAACAATTTTAGTATCATCATTAGTTTTATTTATGCGTGTATCGATATTGTAACAGTTAATTGTATGGAATTTAAGTCATTCTTTGCACTTGATAAGTTTTATTTTTAACTAAAACAGGCTAACTTCCTTAAGAAATGGCAAAAAAAAAAATTTTAAGTTTAAAAAAATCTACTGCAGAGCGTTCCTTATCATATTAGATTATCTCCAATCTTTAACGCTAAAATACGCACATAATACTCTACAAATCTAGCCTTTTTTGCAAATAAAATTTCTAATAGCCTTATTAAATTTTTCAAACAGATTCATTCTTATAAAATTTTCTGATTTGTCCCCCAAATCGTAATTTATTAGACCCATTGACGCGGTCTAATTTGATGTTGGACACCCTGTAGTTAATAATTATAATTGACAATTAAGTTTACAACTAGGAAAGGGATTTGAAAAGATTTTCTCTGAAAACCACTGAAATTAAGTAACAGTAATTATAAAAATTAACATAAAAATTGCTTTAGCATTTTAAAAATATTTTAGGTGTGACGACTGATTTAAAGACGAAGGACGACCAGAAGAAGAAGACGAGTGTTGATAAGAAGGTTGAGCAGAACAAGGACGAGGACGATCAGTTCTCTATGGATATCTAGCTGGCTGTGAGAACCAAAAAATGCTTCCTGCTATTTTATTCTTTAAAACAACATTTATTTACAAATGTTTCCAGTTATGGTTTATTATTTTTTTTTATGTGGGTCACAGAACTTTTTCTCTATGATTTTGGGCATTCATTTTCCTACACCTTATACAATGTAACAATATACATACATACATACATACATAGTGCCATTAAATGAAATTTACATGAACTGTTATTTTCAGAAACCATGATTTATAACCATCATACACAGGGTTTCTACCATTCAGAGGTATTACAAGAATATTTTTTATTTACTCATCCGGGAACAAGTTGTTAAATTATCCCGTCCCTCCTTTCCTTACCCCTCCTCTAATCTACTTAGAAGTTGGTTCTTATTTCCATTGTGAACGTCAAGATTAGGAAGACTCCTTAAATGAATTATGTTGGTCTGCTTTTCATGAACTGTAGTTATCTCATTTTAAATACTCCAATTATATAATTCTATATTTGGTTGTAAGCTATACAAAGAAAAAATTTACATGGTTTCGCGTACAACAAGATTATTTATATAGCAGAAAGCGTATATATGTTTGATGACACATTTTTTAAAATCAATCTCAGGATGAGAGTGACTCTGAGGACGCTGCTGAGCTTGAATCATATCTGTACTCTCAGATCCATTACCAGCAGGATTCTCCAGAACCAGAGAACTTGGATCCGTCCCAGAGCGAGGAAACCACAGATTTTTTCAGTAAATCTGAACAAAAGGTATAGATAAATATCATTTTAATAGAATGGTGAAATCGTAGGTTTTGGTCTTGTAGGCACGAAACTCATCATAAAATAAAGCAACAGATTCTTGTTCTAACAGAAACTATTTTTAGACGAAAGCTAGTTCCTTTGCAGTAAGACAAATCAATGATCTTCTTTCCTCGGCAGATTTTTCGAAACCCTCCCAACCTAGATCAGATACATCCCAACCTAGATCAGATAGTTCTAAATCTATATCAGATACATCACAACTTAGATCAGATAACTCTCAACATAGAACAAATAAATCCCGACCATCAACCCCTGACCCTAAAAACCTAGTAACCAATCCGTTATACGAATCTAGTGACTCCGATACCTCCGATGACGAGGGGATCATCATTGTGTCCGACTCGAAGGAGAAGTTTGAGAACACCATCACGATCAGCTCCGACAGTGAACCGAGCACGCAGAAGTCTAAACCGCGTAGACTCACGGGAATAGAGAAATCCTTCAAGCAAGCACCAGTTTTCACCAAGAGAAAACGGAAAAAGGATTTCTACGTGGCAGAGTTTGGTTCGGATTTTGAAGATAATTTCCTGTCTGATGACTCCAGTGATAATTCTAACACCTCGGATGATTCGGTTGAGATCTTGGATGAATCTAGATTAACTCTAAATGTTTCCGAACCTGTGAATCCTATCTCTAGGTACAATTATATTACAATATATTTTGGTGAATACGCAAATATTTTGGTACAAAATACTCCCCCCTCCATATTCAATAATCTTATGAGAAAATATTGACGCGGCGCGAAGGTGCAAGGGGGGGGGGAGACCCAAACATATTACTCTCCGAAAAATTCAAACATTGCTTAAACATAACTTAGAATTGTTGAAGAACCCTGATTTTTTATTTTCTCTGTGTAACCTCTCCATTGTTAAGAATCCAGATCCATGTGGCAAAATATCAACTCAAAATATACATTCTAACCTTTTCTCTTAATGCAAAACTCGTGTGTCGATTTGAGGTATCTTGGTGATCTCATTGATCAGTTGGATCCGGATCAATTTTTATTGCGGCTCCGGATCCGGAATCGAATCCATATGGAATGTATCCTAAGTGAAGACTTCTACTTCTCTTATACTTTCTCTTTATTGTCATTAAGCTATATTTTTATCCGTTTATGACAAAAATGTGTTTTTAAAAGAGTAAGGCGTAATCAAGTATCATTGCAGTTTTATGGAGGACATGGAGCATGAGGATTTGGATCAGGATCTTCCCAGAAAATGGAACCTTGATATGAAGATCTTTTATGCACGGATAAATCATAGAAACCTAGACCTTAATTGTGGTAAGCAATTTCTTTATGTCATATCTTAATCGGAACTTAGGGACACTTATCGTTTAAATCAGCTAATTTAGTCATTAACTCAAAGCCCTTTAATTATCCCGTCCCTGATGTGGAACCTTGATATGAAGATATTTTATGCACGGATAAATCATAGGAACCTTGATCTTAATTATGGTGAGCAATTTCTCTCTTAGTATATGTCATTTCGTAATCGGATACTAAGAAACTTCTTTCTCTCATTGCCCAATCATTAAGTATATCATTTTAAAACCGCAAACATGACAGGAAACTAAATTCAGCGTGAGATCGTTACAATTTTATAGTTTTTAGGTATTCATTAAATCTCATCCTTTGCAGTAATCCTTTAACTTGCATGATGATAAGTTCCAATTAAAATTTATTATTTTGTTCAGAGGATCTAACAGATCCGACTATACCTTGCACCTGGAGATTAGACAGAGCGGATACCAACCAAGAAACCAAATATCGGTCTAGATATTTTAATAATAAAGGACGTTGCAACAATTGTAGTGAAACAGGTTAGTCTAGCGCTAAAACTGTGACGTTATCAGGGGTGCTTGTTGTGAAAACTAATTCTTAGAACTTTCGCATATTTCTTCACAACTAGAAAATTCTATTTTTTGCCACAAAGAAAGTGATCATACATGACAATGACTATACACTTGTGATATTCTAACATTTTGCGCCAATGTTCTGAAAAAAAAGAGAGTAAATAAGCAAGCAATAAGTATTTTACTGCTTGGAAAATTATTGTATTACGTAGACACGGCTTTTCCCAAAATATCGTTTTTATTCGTTTATTCATCATCCCTTACATTTCAGCCATGAAAGCCAAAATAAATAAATCTGCAAGGGCAAATATTGGTTAAAAGTTTATTAAAAAAAAATATTTCTTTGTTGAAAATGCAAGCTTTATTTAGAAGAAATGCTTAGTCTTATGGGAAAACTTTTATATTGCTCAACTTAATATCCTTGAACAAGCTCAAGTTTTAAGTTTGGTTTTATTTTATTTTTGTTTTTAGGACATTTTGCTCGTGATTGCTCTGCTCCCTTGAAACAAGGAAAATGTTTTATGTGTGGACTTGTGGGACACAAGTAAGTATTCTTGGACAATTCTTATCTGGACATCAGAGTCTTTATTTTGTTCAGACTATATTCATAATTCTATGCAATAATTGTCTTTGCTTATATACATTTATATGTTTATATATATATATATATATATATATATATATATATATATATATATATATATATAATGTATATTTGTATATATATAATGTATATTTGTATATATGATAGCAATAGCTGGCCAAACGACTGGATTAGTTGGCTGTATTTTAGGAACCAAAAGGCTAAAAAATTGGAATTTTGTTTTCTAGAACTATTTTTTTATATTTGAATTTGAAATTTTTTTTCTTCAATTATTTCTAAAATTCTACGGTTTATTTATCACAGGGAGACACGGTGTCCTGATAACTCCTGCTTACGGTGTGGACAACCTGGGTTTGGGTTTCAGTCTTCTTGTGGACATTGTAGAGCTCTGGAATCCCTTCCTTGCAAGGTTAGATGATTTACATGATAAAACACATTGATATACCCTTCATTCATGATAATCTTAGATGGTGAAAGAGGAGGGGGGAGGGGGAGGGGGTCACAATAAAAAATATCGTTGGAATTCTAAAACAGGAGAAAGTAAAGAAAACGAAAATTATTGAGTTCAAATTTGCTATTTATCGTTAGATCCGGATCCATTTTCTTTTTTATTTTGAATTAAAATAATACGCAAGTTATCACTGAATTTAAATTTAGGAGTGTGGATTCAACGGTCATGTGAAACGAGATTGTCCTGATCTCTGGAGACGGTTTCATCAGACCACAGACGGAGATCTACCCCAGGATACAAACAGTATCAAGGTCTCCAACCTGTTCTGGTGTTGTAACTGTGGTCGGAGAGGACATCTGATGGAAGGATGTAGAAGATACTTGTACTCCGAGTATCCTAAAACATCTCTCAAGGTCCTCAAATATAATAAACTCGACCCTGTCCTAGAGGAGCAGGAGGAGGAGGAGGAACCGAACCCTGAGAAGTCGAGGAGAAATAGACGGGATAAGTACGCGGATAAGAAGAGAAAATCTGACATTAACTCCAATTCTCCACGTCGTAACTCCGGTAAGAAGTTCTACTCCAGGAGTGAACCTAGTACTCCATCCAGCTGGGAGGAATCCTTAATAACCACAGATCTCCGGGATGTCATTAATAACATCCACTCCAAACCAAACTATAACACGGCTAGGAAAGAGAAACGGGAAATAGTTAAGATAAAACGGAAAGCGGAGGAGAAGGAGTTCAGAAGAGTTAATAAAAGAAAAAGTTTTGAAAACGTTTTTTCTCCCTTTGAGAATTCTGGAAAAAGCAAAAAGGAAAAAAAGCGACAGAAATTTTACAATTCCGTTATGCGACAGCAGAAGCAGAATTTTGTCGACCTGTCAGCGGTTTCTAAAAAGCGATTGCATTCTGTGAAAAACAACATAGCCACAGGGTCGAAGAAGAAACATAAACCAAAAGAAGATATTCATCTTCCCGCCTTCTATAAATATAGCAAGAAATTAAATAAATAAATTTATTAAGTCTAGTTTTCTTTAAACTTATCTGTGATAATTTTTTCAGAAAAAAATGCGATTGACGTGTTTTAACCTTGCGCGTCGGGGGTTTAGAGACCCGGCTGTAATACATAGTGGTCTAGGTAACTGTCCGTTAGTCGTCAAATATTTTATACAATCATAAGCTTCATTATAAAGCTATTATACAATAGTCAATGCATAATACATATTGAAAATAGTAAAGTAACTGGGAAATCTTCAGAAGAAAAAGTCAATGTAATTAAGAACAAATCCTCCTTTCTAATAAACGAATTCGCCTCTTGTTTTCAGTTATAAGATATCGATGCTCAAAAAAGGGTATATTTTGTCTATCTTCGCTGATGCTTTTGGAGAAGTATATTGTGGTATTTTGATGAAAGAATTATACATTTTTTACGGTTATTTCATAAGGAAAGTTTGTGTTTTATACAATTCTAGGAATTTATAAAATAAATAAAAAATTAATTGATAAATTTTATAATGACAAAATCTTGTATTTAGGTAAATATACAACCGATTACAGTAATCTACCGGAGAGATATATAACTAGAAAAATTACGAAAATTAAATATAAAGCACCAGAGGGTCCTGAGTAAGTTAATTAAAATTATCATCAAAGGTTGAGCTATTGAGCACTTAATTGAGAAAAATCAGACATGCATAAAAAAACGGTTTCGGGGAAAAATGTTGAGTCTGTCACTTAAGTTTTTTTCTGCTCTAAAACAAATTTTTTTTCAATATCTAAAAATAAGCCAAAGACTCGAAATGGATTTTGATATCCATATCTACATGTTTTGAAAAATAGATCTTCCTAGTGATCTTTACTTTTTAATTTAGTGGATAGTGGGAGAGTTGTGATTTTTGAAATTTTTTTCGCACCCAATTTAATTTTCCTAAACAACTAATTAGTTAACTGTAGGATTTTGTTTACATTTTCTGTCGTCGTTATTTAATAATTAAAAAGAAGCAATTCTGAAAACGTATCCACCCAAAAGTACGATTTTGAACGTCGACTTTGCCCTCAAACTCAGATTTTACAGATCTTTAAAAAGTTTTATATGTCTCAAATGAATTTGTCCACGACACTGCATACTCAGTTCAACTACCTTACATAGCCGGTTTGTCCCTTTAAACCTAGGAGTCAATCTCTTGGTTTTCAGGTTTATACCTAAGATGAAAGCCTGGAAGATCCAGCATCATGGGTTGGAGAGACCTTGGTCTAGTTCCTACTGGGCGGAGCACCCTCCGTTCCAGTACAAGGATACAGCTATAGTAGAACCTATCCTGGAGAGGGACTGGATGTGGTTCAGGGGAGACAGGGTGGAAATATTAACGGGGCCAGATAAAGGAAAACAGGTTTGTGGTATTTTAGAAAACGTAACAGTTTAATTCTGACATTAAATGAATCTACTAAACTGCGCTCCCAGCTTAACAACTACTCTTTCCCGGTTATTCTTTTAAGTGGGTTCGGTCTTTATTATTAGAGCATGTACAATGAAATGTGTCCAAATAACTATTTAGTATATTTATATATAAAAATCATAAATGAATCTTATGTTCAGGGTTATATAAACATGGTAGTACAAGAGCGTAACTGGGTTACAGTCGAAGGATTAAACACTAAATATGTTACTATGGGAGAGTCCCAGGATTTCCCTGGTATGATGATAAAGCAGGAGAAACCCCTGCTAGTCACCCGGGATATAAAGTTGGTGGATCCAACGGATGAGAAACCTGCCGAGGTTGAGTGGATGTACACAGAGGCCAGTGAACGAGTTCGTGTCTCGGCCAGGTTTGATATGAAATTATTTTATGACGGGATGAATACTTTTCGATCAAATTAAAAACCCATTCGTATGATTCTGTCAAAATAAAAAAGTCTCGTTACTCTTTAGTCTTTATTTAGTTAAATGAATAAAATTTGTTAAAATCAAAAAAATACATTAATATCATCATCAACGAGTAACTTAACAAGGTTTTTTAACCAGCAAAAATCCATTTATTGAAAACCTGAATAAATTCAGAATTTTTTGTTATTATCAACCTCATTAATTTGTCTGATTTAAATATGTTTTAAAATTTCTTTAATGGTAGATTTGTATTGACAAAAGCTACAACGAAAGTTATTGCTTTGTGAAAGGTGTTAAAAGGAACTTTATTCTTGGGGGGAAAAAAAACTTAAAACTGATGCCATTTTTTTTATCTCCAGCCTTTTCTTTTCCATCTTCCATCTAGGGTTACATACTTTTAGTTTATTAAATCTTCTAAGGCCAACTACGAAAGCAGATGATATTTATTTTAAAGGGAGTGTTCGCGAAAAATGAAAGGGGGTATAGGCTCAATGCGATAAAAAAGCGCTTTTGATCGCTACTAATCTTACTTCTATCTGTTGCGTCTATTAGGAGAAAATTGTTAAAGACGTCTCATACGTACTGAATAACATGGCGTCCATACAAATTGAGAAAATTGCAACATACAACTTAGACCGTAAAAAATCAATTTAATTTCAAACAAATCATTCAGATATTACAACCTATAGTCATCGATTATCTTTCGTCACATTTGATATTCCACACTAGTTTTGATATTGTTTTTTAAAATAATATTTAGCTTACAACTTGTTTTCGAACATTCCTGGAAAATATGAAAATGTCATCTTCATTACCAAAAATCCACGAAACAGGAATAAATGTTTTTATTAGTAACTCTCAGATCATAACAATTAAAACATATTATGAAAAATCAACTATATATAAATGTGGCGAAAGATAATCGATGCCTAAAGGTTGTAATATCTGAATGATTTGTTTGAAATTAAATAGATTTTTTTACGGTCTAAGTCGTATGTTGCAATTTTCTCAATTTGCATGGTCGCTACGTTCTTCGGTATGAGACGTCTTTAACAATTTTCTCCTTACAGACGCAACAGATAGAAGTAAGATTAGTAGCGATCAAAAGCGCTTTTTTATTGCATTAAGCCTATACCCCCTTTTATTTTTCGCGAACACTCCCATTAAAGTTTAATGTTATTATTCTTTAGGTCTGGTTCTATTATCCCTATGCCTGGGAAAGCGGAAGAAACAATAGATTACAAATCTAAGTCTGGATACGTTCTTAATAAGAGTAAAGATACTGCTCCAGCAGCAGTTGAAGAGATCACATACGAACCTAAGCTAGGAACATTTGAGATGGATATTATGGAGAGTTTAGGAATACAAGAGAACAGAATACCTAAGAAATCATATTGGTACTAAATCAAATATGTGTTATTTGTATCTATTTAATAAATTTAGAATCAATAACGGACTTATTGAAACCAGGGGGCGGAATCGTCACGGTTGTGTCTGTGTGTAAAGTTTACCGAACCGAAGGTGTGTACTGTAGGTATATATTGTACATAGAAATCTGGGTTTTTGTACAGTCTAGGAGAGTACATTGTGTATTGTTAATTGTTAACTTAAAATAAGTTAATATATATGTAGTAACTATTTATATATTTAAGTCAACACTATAAGCCAAATTTTTATGAAAAGAATATAATTTGATTAAAGTTTACAATAAACTAGTCGTCATTCAAGCTTAATTATAATTGACAACATTGTTCTGCAATTTCCTTGACTGTAGTCATGTTGTGTGTCGTATCATTCAAGCTTAATTATAATTGACAACATTGTTCTGCAATTTCCTTGACTGTAGTCATGTTGTGTGTCGTATCAGAAGAATGTGTGTAAAGTAACACTTTAATTTGAACTAGATGGTGTTTCTTTATTATTTATGGCATATCAATAGTGCATTCCTTAATACATAGATTCCAATTAGAACATGTTCCTTAATCCCTGAATTACAACAATAGCGTAGATTTGTATTGACAAAAGCAACAATTATAATAAAATAAAAACTAATTCTTGTTTTTTTTATCACTGAATTTCCTTATTCTTCAATTCCAAAAGCTTGTTCCTTAATCCAAAGATTAAAACCAGAACGTGTATCATAGTAAATGAATAATGATTTAAAACCAGAACGTGTATCATAGTTAATAATAATGATCTAAAACCAGAACGTGTATCATAGTAAATGAATAATGATTTATAACCAGAACGTGTATCATAGTTAATAATAATGAGTTAAACCCAGAACGTGTATCATAGTTAATAATAATGATTTAAAACCAGAACGTGTATCATAATAATAATGAGTTAAAACCAGAACGTGTATCATAGTTAATAATAATGAGTTAAAACCAGAACGTGTATCATAGTTAATAATAATGAGTTAAAACCAGAACGTGTTTCATATTTAATAATGAATGAGTTAAAACCAGAACGTGTTTCATATTTAATAATAATGATTTAAAACCAGAACGTGTATCATAGTTAATAATAATGAGTTAAAACCAGAACGTGTTTCATATTTAAAAATAATGATTTAAAACCAGAACGTGTTTCTTCATTTTAACTCGTAGCGTGTTCCTTGGTCCTTCATTTTGACTCAGAGCATGTTTCCTTATCCTTAAATTTAAACTAGTGTTTCTTTTTCTATGACTTTGAAACAGATCGTATTTCTAAATCCATGAATTTTACCTAGAGCGTGTTCCTATGATCGTCGATTATTTTTCGACGCATTCGTATATAGTTATATTTCATAATATTTTTTGTTCGTTTTGTATGCAAGTCGTCATAAGTGCATTGTATATAAAACAAATAACAAATATTATGAAATATTAGCTATATTTGAATGCGCCGAAAAATAATCAATTAATTTAGGTTGTAATATCGGAATGATTTGCTTGAAATTAAATTGATTATTTTACGATACGAGTCGTATATTGCAACTTTTTTAATTTGTATGAATGCTAAGTTCTACAGTTAGTCATTTTTAAAATTTTCTCCTTATAGACGCAACAGATAGAAGTAAGATTAGTAGCGATCAAAAGCCATTATTTTTCGCCGTAAGCCTATACCTCCTTTCTTTTTTCGCGAACACTCCCTTTAATTCTTTTGAACCCTGAGCTTGTTCCGTGAATATAAACTAGACTGTATTTCTTAATCCATGATTTGAAACTAGAATATCTTTCTAATCCTTTTAAAATAGAATATGTTTTATAATCTTCGAATATAATAACCTTTTGCTTCATATGATAAATTTTCACTTTACATCACATTTGGAAAACTTCAAGCTATATCTACATCGATTGGACAAATAGCCGATTGAACATTCCACAGCCCGGTTTTTAGTCCACTTACACTAAAATATATTAACTAAATAAAAATAATTATTTCCAAATGAATCAATTTAAATTAAAAATTAATATATACATTTTAACGCACGGGCATCGTCATTGTAGAAAACTATGGCCACAGAAATTGTCGTAGCCTAACCCAACCCTTAAATCTTAAGATTACCATAACTTTTTTTGAAAACCTTTAGAAAAATTAGATCAATTAAAAAAAATTTTGTTTAAAAAGACTACTCCTAATGAACATTAGTCCAAATGATGTGAGACCGAAGTAAGACTCAGTATTTGTGTAAATGCTTGTATTGAAGTATTCAGAACGTAGGTTTAACTAAACTTTCAATATCTATGTCAATTTGGAACACTAGCAGCCCAAATTCGGGGTTCATTATCTCTCAAGTTAACATTTCAATATATTTCTTTAAATTTATTATGCGAACTTTTGGTTTAAATAAAATGCGAGATTCTTCATTACATAGTTGGAACAATACATTCATTGGGAAATGGCACAAAATGTAAATTTTTAGCAAGCTTTACGACAAGAAAACTAAACGGCAGCAGATGTGGATAAAAGACAAATTAGACATTTTCTATCAACAGTACAGAATACAGGATTGGTTACTGAGTACATTGACTGTAGTATGCAAAGTTGTGATGTACAATAACGGGTAAATGTCTGAGATGCAAACTGGGATGAACCCTCTTCTCTTGGTCCTCTCTTCAGCTGATATCTTCTCACAACTCCTCCTTAAATCTATCCAGGTTGTGCAGATGATCTCCGTAGTCGGTTGCCTGAATATAAAAAAGATCTCATTTTATAAACATGATTTTTGAGAAATAATTGGTTTTGAAACAGTGAAAGGAACTGGAGTCGTAGTTAAAAGTGACTTTTAAGTGACATGTATGATTTACAACAATACCCCTTATACCTCTACAGTGAAACCCTTAATAACGAATACATCGAAAGAATTCATCAAATGTCGTATTCTTCACTTTCTGATAATGGAATGTTGCAGATATTTAGTTTTTTAATTAAATGATTATATGGAACTCTTTAAAACTGTTCCCGCACATTCATGGCTACTTATTTATTTTCGCAAATAATGAAATTTACGTAATATAGTATAAAACTCATTGAAAAATTGGCAAGACGACATTTGATAAATTCTTCCGATGTATTCGTTATTAAGGGTTTCACTGTATCTGATTAATTAAACATGTTTATTTTTTAGCCGAAAATTGCATATTTATGCTTAAGAGGACCTTAACAGAATTGAACAATTTTTAGACAGAAAAATGATAAAATCTTAAAAACAACTATTTGTTCTCAGATGCCGCCTTCCTTTAAAATTATCATATAATGAAAGTTGTATTGAATATTCATTTGCAACATTTATACTTTTTAATATGTTTTTCCAATCAAATACATTGGTAAACAATGCCTTTATTGTTGTGTTCAAATCAGGAGTGTATATTTTCTTGAAAATCAATCCCCGTCTTCTCCCCCTATCATATTTTTTTTTACCAGGCGTTAGGTATTTTTGAGCGAATTAAATTTTATGTTATATTCGCTGAATTTTGGGAAATAAATGGTTTGATGGGGAAAAAATGATTTTTTTGATAAAACGTATCAAAAACATAGATAAAGATAGATTGCGCATAAGACGACATTTTTCATCTTGAAAGATATAAATGTACAGAGATGTTTAAAGATATTCCTATTAATATAGATTAACTAGGTCGGTTGTGAACATTGGCTGTTCTTATGTCGTTAAGTACTTGTGGTGTACATGAGTTCTTTAAAAAGAAATTTAAGTTTGTTTAGTCCTTCTCATGTCCTTCTTCAGTTCTCGTCAATATGATATATTGCTCAGTGATATAATTTTATATTCTCAAAATAAAATTAACTCCTGAGTGGTTTAATAATTATGTACTTATCATTGAAGTACACTTTGACCCCTAGAAGTATGAGTTCGCGGACTGTACAATTCTTGGTGATTTTGCGTACATAAGTTATCTATGTTTATTTATTTATCTATGATCAAAAAGAATGAAAAACTTGATGTCCAATATTTCATTTTTCCCCGATCATTTAAAATTATAATTCTAGAGAATTTACAACCCTTAATTAAAAATGTAAAAACTGTATGGGGGATGAACTACCGCAGTACAGGGTGGTATGAACTGAAGGACTAAAACAGATCTCCTACCTCTGACCCGACAAATAGTTCATGATTATTAAGAATCTCCTGGAAGGATAGAACCCCGTCCACATCAGTGTCTGCTCCAGCAAACAGATGATTCACCTGGATACAACAAAATTATATTATTATTATTAGCATCATTCAATTAAATAGGGGGTCCAGATTTTCATGGACAAAACGGACTGATATGCCCTAGGAAAGAGACTTAACCAAGGCGTAGGCCCAAAACAGATTAATTTCTTAACATTTTATATTTCTTTACATATTTATTTATTTCCCAAGCAATAACTTCTTGGTTGAATAGCGTCTAACGCTGAGTATCATCGATTAAACTAAATATCCATAGCGTAGGCTTTTAGATTGAATGATATAACTTATATTCCGGAAAGAGACGAACCGACTAAGTGTGTCGAACAATATTTGATTATTAGATTATTAGCCTTTTTTTATACAATAGTTTCGCTCTCCGGTGATTTGAATATTACCTCTTCTGAAGCAATATCCTCGTTGCTGGGAATAATCCAGGCTAGAATTTCCTCTTTAGACAGGAGATTATCCTGGTTTTTATCCAACTCTGTGTCAAACCTGAGAATTCAATATTTAAATACTAGTTCAAACATTTCTTACGAAATTTGAGAAGGAACCGAGTTTTTGCCACAAACTCTGATTTTGTACCCACCCAATCATCCAATGTCGTATAACTTAGCTATTTCAAACTATGAATTCTGTTAGATCAAATAATCTAAGTTTTAAATATCATAGGTTTACACCATTATGTTGAAAAGCTATAGGGATTAGAAATTTGAGTTTGTTGCAAGAACTCAATTCCTTTCATAAAGTTTCTTTGCTTGTCATTCTTGGAGAATCCCTTAATAAGATTTATAACAAGGAGGTAAAAATGTTTGAGTACTAAAGGGGCCCGAGGGTGGGGGGCTGACGACACCCGTCCGTAATTAAAGAACCTGCATAAAATTGTGTATTTCACTTAAGGAATAATTTTTCTCACAACAGCCTCCTAAGCATGTGTAATAATAAGTTTCTTCTCTAATATTTTCTTAAAGCGATTTCTTCCATTTTAGAGATTTTTAGTTAATAAAATACCTGTCCTTCTCTGAGAGTAACCACTCCTTATCCTTCCCTTCCCCCCTGGAGCCCAGATACTCCTGGAAATCTATACTTCCATCTCCGTTTATATCCTTCGCCTTTAACACCTGAATAGAAAATGGTTATACAACTTACAATATGAACTTCTCGTATATAAAAGTGTTGAAAATATGACCAAAAACATGAAATTTTGACTTCTTGATTTACTCTCACACATCTTTATAAAATCTAAAATTACAAATCTGGCTCTACTTCGATCGGGATGAAGACAGATACAAGAGTTATCTTAGTTTAAAATAAAAAAACGTGCAGTAGTTTTTGGATTGATGAAAATACATTTTTTTGTAAATAAGATACTGGTTAACACTAACAGGTCCCTGGTATCAAATTTATTTGAATTGAATTTTCTCCCCCTACATCTATCTATCTATCCATCTATCTATCTATCTATCATAATTCTTGCCCCCATGAATGAAAACAGGTACCATCCCACCGACCCTTAGTACCCCTTATTGTGAATATTTGGACCAGTGAATTAACAAGACCCGTACAATAATACTGTTATGCAAGAGTGTAGGATAGCGGGTGTCGTAGCCCCCTCTAACCCAGGCTTGTATCTGCGGCCCACATATGTAGTTGAACAAAACTTTGTAGTATGAAGTAATAATAATTTTGGGTGTTATAACTTCTCAGTTCTCACTTTAACTGCAATCTTTAGGATAGCCCATAAAATATACTTTCTCTGACAAAACCTTTAATCAGTAAGTTAAACCGAACCTGTTCCACTACGACAGGTTTCATCTTATCCTCTTCCTCCGGATGAGCAAAGGCAAGGAATTCCACCTTGTCCAGGAAGCCGTCCTGGTCGAAGTCTGCTGCAAGGAATAGAAATCTGAATAGATTTAGGTTTAGGTTTAACTCTGTTTCCTAGGGTTAGGTTTAAGTATGAATTTTTTCTTGAGTTTGGATTCATTAAAAACTATATTTTCTATGCTAGGATTAAACCCGATTTTTTATCTATACTTATTCTAGGGTTATCCGGTAGGTTTAAACCAAGGTTTGCTAGTTAGATTTAAACTTACAGAGTATAGTTAAACCTAGATGTTATCTTTGAGTCCGGTTTAACCCTGTAATGTGTTAAACTAGTATTATTTCATAAGGTTCGACTTCATTCTGTATTAGAATCAGAAAAAGATGCATTTAAAGCTGTAATATTTTAGAATAAGGTTTAGATAAGGTTTTAGTTAATCTGACGGTGTTTTTTTGAACATCGGTAGGTACAAGGAGATATTGAATAGAAGGAGGGGGCGATAGGGTTTCTGTACACTTTGCTGTGACGTTATAGGACTAGTTTTTGCGTAACAACAATAACATAGGCAGCCGATCTAATGTAAACAAACATGAGTTAGTAAACTGTAAAAGTAGTTTTATCTTGTTAAAAAAGATTGAAAAAGTTAAGGATTTTAGTTTTATACGAAAAGGATCTTACTACTGCGACATTTTCAATCAAATTCAAGGTTATCCGCCCCCCCCCCTTTATAAATACGCCAGAGATGCCAGATGTCAGTTTATCATTTGTGTTATTGTTTACAATCTTTATTATTGTTGTTACGCAAAAACTAGTTCTTCAGCAGTCCAAAAACGTCACAGCAAAGTGTACGGAAACCCTATCGCCCCCTTCTTCTATTCAATATCTTTTTGGGTAGGTAAACTAACGTTAACCAGTTTCAGGGGTAGCTTAGAATAATATTTAATGTTAATACAAGCTTCTGATCAGACACAAAGTAGAACAGATTCAATTATATAATTGACTAAATACCCGGTTGAAGGAGGAGGGGGGGGGGAATGTTTTATCTTTTGTTTCTTGAATATAAGTTTCTAGTTACCTGTCTTCTTCCATAAGTTTCCATTCCTCTGCAATATCCGGATCACTGAACCCAACACACAAAATATGAATATTAAATTATTTATATAACAACATTGTGCCAAAATATTAATATTACACATCACTAATAATTATATGAAACACTAGCTTGGGAACCAAGCATTGCCTGGAAACTAAGTTTATCCTATAAATGTTAAAGGAAGCTAAGAACATTTTCCTAGTTTTAACGAGTTCCTAAACCAAGATTTACGGCAAATTGTTCCAAGGGTTCATGAGTTATGATCGGGACATACATAAAACCAACATAGGTTACTACAGATATATTTGGATTAACAAATACGTCAGATCTGAATAGAAAGTGTTAAGTCTTTTTTTTTAAATCTTTATTTTCATATTTTTGTTTCCTGAGATTTATTTCTCCTTCTCCGAAATCATATTCCTCCGTCTTGTACTCCTCCCAGGAAACCTTCCCGTCCTCGTTCTCGTCACAGTCCTCGAACCTGTCGTCGGAATCCTCCTTCGACAAGGATTTAAAGGACCGGAGGATCCACGCATACAATTCTTTCCTAAAAATTCAAATAGAATATTATTTCGTTTTTTCATTTCCCATTTTTCTTGCAAAAAGAACTTAAAAAAGTATTTTGGATTTTTAATTTCTACGACCTGTCAACGCTCTGATCAAGGTTTCTGTCCATCTTCTCCAGCAGAACCTTCAACCTCTTCTTAGCCTCCTCCGGAGACAGGTCATCGAACTCCTCAGCCTCCTTCCTGGAGCCGAGGATAGCCTCGTGATCGAATCCAACATCATGCTGATCTCCGGCTCCGTGACGATGATCTCTAGGACTGTAGGCTCCGTCAGAGACTCTCTCTGAACTCTGCAGAATAATTATAAGGATTAAAACAAAAAAGACCTATAAATCTGAATTTTAAAATTTAAAATATCTTAAAACAACATAGTACTTATTAAACATATTTTTATCTGACTCAGGTTTCTTGAGGACTGAACTCAGTTTTAGAAAAATGTGAATTGTTTTAAAAAGATTTTTATAAAAATTTCATTATTGATTTTTTTTGTTAAACTAAAGAAAAATGGAATCGAAAAGAAGAACATATAATATGAGCGTTAGGAATAATACAGAATAGGAACGGAGAAGTAAAACAATAGATTATTGGAGGAAATTAAAGAAAGGACAGTTAAAACAAAGAAAAGAAGAAGTGTAAAAAAAGAATAAGTTTAGAAAAAGATATCCGAGAGGAAACAAAAGAGAAGAAAATTGAAACTATTGAGAAAATAGTTTAGGCCTATGAGAGAAAATAAAGTAAAAAGTAAAGAAAAACATAATCAAGGAAAGTATAGTTAAGAAAGAAGGATAAAAAGGAATAAAACGAAAAGATGAGATAAGAAAAGAAGAATCCAGGGGAAGCAGATCTAAGAAAATAAGAATTGAGGAAAGGAAAGAAATCCAAGTTTGAGGAAATGGGGAGGGGGGGGGGAGATAATTGTAAAAACAGAAGTAGGGATGGTAGAAAATAGGAGTTTAAGGAAAGTAGAGGTAAAAATTAACAGAGAGAAGCAGAGAGAGATGGTATGAATGATGACTCACCCCCTGTCCATGAGTATGTGAGTGAGCAGCCTGGTTAGAGAGCTGGACGGAGCAGAGTATTCCTACTCCAACAATCCACACATTCATCTTCTGAAATAATTTTTTACTTCATTAAACTTAAACATTAAACATGGCGAATAATTTGCATAATCAATATAACAATGTGTATATATAAAATATTGATGGCATTACATCTACAAAATAATCGTTTAGTATAACTTTAACTAGACACATATTAACTAAAGCAATTTAACAAAATAAATTCAAGAAAGGAGAAGATTGACAGTGGATCAAATTTCATCTTAAGGACAGTTACAACTTAGCAAACTGTAAAAAAGTTATCAAAATTTTAATGAAAAAAAATTATAATTAATACAAATAAAATAATAAAATAAACTTTTTAAATTAAAATTTTATTCTTAAAATGCATTTTTTTAATAATTATTAACGTAGCAGTAGCTGAGACAAGTTTCATATTACAAAAGCTGCAACTGAGAAGAAAGTTTACGTAGAATGCCACATGCAACGTATTATAAGGGGAAGCACTTATTAAATATTCAGACTTGCTCTTTATACAAATTCTAAAGGAAGAGGGAAATAAACACAAACTAATCTTTATGAATACAATTTTCAATTTAAGATTATGATTCATGTATTTTCCGGAATATTCTTTGCATTTTAAAGTTCTTTATTTAATATTAATATTTTTCGCAAAACTTTACTTTTGGCAAAAAAGGTAGAGAAACTTTTTTTAATTTACAAGACTAAATGATATCTTAGTTTAATTTACGATAGTTACGCGATTATATAAAATATATTTACATTTTTTCAGGATTTCAAAATCATTTCTAAAATAAATTTCCCTTGATACAAAAGGTATTCGACTACAATGTGCACCATGATATAGCAACCTCAGGTTCATCCTGTAACATAAGGCAACAAAGGAAGCAGGAATGATCAATAAAGGCAGCGTGGACGTTAAATGCTCAAAAATAATGCGTTAAATAAACAGAATTAAACATTTTTAATGATATTAATAATATTGTATATGTATGTCTTAAGAAAATTTGCGCGTTTTTTTAAAATATGACCCAGGCTGTCCTAGATGGTTTCGTCAGGACCTTGGAACTCACTGAGAGCCTTCATTGGATTGGTGTGCTTCTTCTGGGATCCTCGCCGAACCTTAGCTTTGGCATCATCCGGAGCCTCTCTTCGAACCAGAGGTTTCTTGTCCGGAGCCTTCATCTTCCAGACTACTAGTGGAGCTTTCTCCTTTCCAACCTGCTTACTCTTGTACTTGGTGCTCGCCACGTAGCTTGCCTTCACTGTCAGCACGACGGCGTTCATCAGGTTCTTCGCCGCCTGAATCAGAGACGTGGCAGAGTCTAGTCCGGAGACGATCAATTCTCCGGAGACGTTCTGAACATCAGCTTTAACCTTACTAGTGATATTAAGCTGATGGCAGTACAGAGCTATTCTCTGGAGGTAAGCCAGTAAATCTTTCTTAGTTGTAGACTCAGGACATTCTTCAGCTATCTGCCGAGCTAGTTTATCCAACTTGGTGCCAGCCTCAGAGATTTTCTGAGCAGCGGTTATAACATCTAAGGTCGTCTTTAAATGACCTTTACCTCGGGTGAAATCAGTCATCTCCATCATGATCATGCACATGTGTTTAGCAAGGACGATGACGTCATTACCGTTGTCGTCCCACTTGGAAACTTCGTTGTCAAACTTATGTCGTTCTATTTTGAACTCTGCAACCTGCTCAGCAATCTTTATTTTCTCCTCCTCGGGAAGAATTTTCATGGCTTCCCTGGCGTTGGTGATACCGTAGATATCCGGGTACTCATCTACATTAGGCTCACTCTTTGTCACTCCACCGTACTCACTTCCTTCATCGTAATCGGTATCACTCTCCATATCTCCGTCTTCACGGTTCAGTAGAACAGCTCGTCTTACTTCTCTGACTCCATCATAAACAAGCCTGCTTGCGTCTATAAACTCGGTTTCGTCTACCCCACCAGGAGAGGAGGAATCAATAGCTCTAATAGCTTCCTTAACCTTAGTCGCAAAGTTGGGAACGGTTTCAGATTTAAGAAGTCGGATGGCCTCAAGAACTCTCTCTGTATAAAGGCCAGGTTCGTAGTTATCCATCTCTGCTCCAACTACATCTCCAATACGGTTTGATCTCCCCTGGATTGCTCCGGCAACCCTGTCCAAGGTTTCAGAGTCTCTCTCCTGTAATGCAAGACAGCAGCGATTAACATCTTCCAGGATATGATTCTCACTCACGGAGAGAAAATCGTCGACAGTGACAATATCGTCGACTGCATCGGTTAGCAACCTGACCTGGTTCTCCCATGCCTCTTTGAACACGGCCATGTTCTCTTGTGCAACCTTGCTCTTGGGTCGACTAGCCAATACGCGGGCAGCATTGATAACCTGGGGACATAGGTTCTGTATCTGCTGAGCAGCGTAGCGAACCATCTTTACTCCGTCCTCATTAGTCGACATACTACAGGCTAGGTTGGCAACCTCAACTAGTTTATTGGTGTGATCAGTAAATACCTCAGCATATTCTTCTACCTTCCTTTCGTCACCTGTCATAGCTGCAGCAATCAGCATATTCAATGGAACTCCGCTGTCAATAAAGCTGTCAGCAACATGATCAACGACAGCTTTTCTTAGCTGTCGTCTTAAATCGTTGGTTTTCATACCTAGAGTCTCAATTGCACCATTAAGTCGGTCAGTTGGAGAATTTCCGGCATTTCTAGAATATTCATTGAGAAGTTCCTGCAGGGCCTGACGAACAGCATTGCACTCAGCTACTATCTTCTCCTTCCTCTCATCCCTAGTACAGCTGCTGTCCGCTATCAGAGCTGCTCCGCTAATTATAGACTCCAGACTCTCTTCCAGACTTGGTCTCATCTTCTTATCATCATACGTGAGAGAGTTCATGATAACCCTGTCATCAAAATCATCCAGAGCAGCTGCAAGCTCACCCTGACCCTCGAAAGTATTTACTCCAGGTCTGAATTTGCCCTGAGCAACATCACTAATAGTATGAACCGCCTCACAAACCTGTCTCAGGACATAATCACGGTTCTCTTTGGCAGCAGCTAGTTCTGGATGTCTTACATAAGCTTTACTAGCCGTCAGGAGCATCATAGAATGCTTCTTTAAAACTGCTCTAGCAGCTGCTAGTTCATCTCGTAGCAGAGGATCCATCAGCTCCTGTTGCCTTTTACCAGACTGCTCCAGGACGTCCTTAGCAGATGCTCCGAACCTCTTCATAGATTCCAGTAGATCCACTTGAGTGGATACATTCTTCAAATATTCAAGATCATCTTCAACTGTTCTTATTTTCCTCATCAGAAGATGTACATCGATCATATCTGCAAGTATGAGAAGTCTGGTTACTGCAGAGAGCAGAGCTCTGCTGGCACGAACCATGTTACCTCTCTTAACGCTTCCACAAGGATCATTAGCAAACTCTCTAGCAGCTGTTGACATAGCATCTCCGGTACTCTTTACCTCATCAACAGCCTGGAGCATCTCTTCGCTGATAGCAGGGTTCTCAGCAGCAATTAGTTCTCCTTTCTCAACAAAGTTCTCGGTAGCCTTCTCTACAGCGGCAACTAGGACATGAGCTCGCTTAGATCTTCCCTTCTTCTTTTGCGGAGATTTGGAGGAGACAAGAGTTGTAACCTGGAGAACCAGGGGCTCCAAGGTTTTCTCCACTGATCTGGTTTTTATCTCCAGGTTTTTGGGATTCCATTTTAGGGATAAGTCCCCTCCAGACATTCTTGGGACGGCTTGTAATCTGAAAACAAAATAACGGTTGATTTAGAAATCAAACACTATAAACCCTCATCAAGGTTTTGATAACTATTAAATCACAAAAAAAAATATTTCACAATCCTCTTAAACTGTATGTACGCTCTGTACGCCTTGGATAAAGAACTGAGGGCGGGGTTTAAGTTTAGGTTAAGTAGGATATAGTGAGTCAGGTTTCCGTTGTAAGAACTGATAACACAATTGTTTGTTCCACAGTGCAGTGCCGCGCTCCACTGCAGATCCCTCAATACACAGGGGCGATAATTTTTAGGATTAAGGAAGAGGGGGGGGGGTCAGGGGCTAGAATATATTCATTTTTATTATTCATAATTGAATAGCATATCTCTCACTCTCATTTTTTTCTCATTTTATATTTACATACAATATCTATCTTTAAAATTAATCAAACTTTATATATATTTATATATTTATATATATATATATATTTATATATAATACATTTATAAATATGAGTATGCACTTCCTGTGCAATTATAGAAAAATACGTATTTAATATAATTGAGTTCTGCAATGAATGATAATTTTGATTAGTATATATTATGTATATTGAAAGTATTGGAACCCTTATTTGTATGTATTATGTGTTTTATTGCTTGTATTTCAGCTTCAAATATCTAATTTCAGTTTCTTTCAAAGTTAGCTGGAATTTAAGCTTTTTTATTAATATAGTAGTTCTGTTTGTGTATTTATATTAATTTTAAAGGTAAACACGATTTTTGCCAAAAAAAATTTGACAGCTAAGAATTTATTTTTTTAAAATATAAATTATATGCGAATTATACACATACAAAGCTCCTAATTTAAACACACTTAATTCATACATTCTACGCATGACCTCATTTTGATGTATATACAATTACTTTCTCCTTTATTTTATTCATAAAGAAAAATGAAGATTGCAGAAATTTGCGCAAAAATAGAAATAATGTGTATTATACTTTATTAGATTGCTAAATAAGCAAATATATCTAAAAGTGGTAGAATTGTATTCATTAATAATTTATTCCTTATCACGAGCATACCGAGTAAACCTGCAACATATAATATTTTTATGTATCTATCTATCTTTATACATGTATTTTATGTATCTAATATATACACGTTTTTCATATACACATATTTTATGTATCCGGATATGTATCTTCTATATAAATTTATTTTATGTATCTATGTAAATATTTTCATAATGGATCATATATGTAATTGTAGAATATCTCTGTAATTGTTTGTATATTCGATCAAAAATCAGAAATCTCTTTTGGCCGATTTTCCTCAAATTTATGTTTGGGAATTTGGAATAGAACCATGAGGTATATTCTTAGTTTGGTTTTAACAATTTAAGTTGAGTCATGGTTGACTTTTATTGGTTTTCATGCAAATTGCTGGGTTACAAATCTAGTAGAATATAGTAAAACTTGAGTTATTAAAAAGATTATTCGCAATTAATTTATAGGGATGGAGTAACTATAAATAATGAATGGTAGGTTTAGACTGATTTTACTTGTATCAGATGTTTCTGAAGAGATTTGAAATTATTATCTGCCCACTTAATTAAACTATCCTGCCATAGATGTTGAAAATTTTAAATTAAATTTTTTTATCAAAATTCTTTTTGTTTTCCAGAAACATCTGACAGAAATGAGAATAGTATCACTTCGCTCGTTAAAGATATTCTATATTTAAATCTCTTTATTTTTTTTGTTGACATTCCCTTTAAATAATTCCGATTTCCACGTTTATGAATGGGTTAACTGGATATTCAGGGTTACTCACACAGAATGAGACTGTAAAGACGACCGGAAATATGACGATTCTAAGACTTAATTTAGTTAAAATAGTATTTAAACGGCTTAATTAATGATTTGTCAAAAAAAAGAAACAGGTTTACATTTACAGAGATTTCTAAATTTCAAGGGAACAGACAGCGTACATTCCGTACAGTCGTCTCTGAAGTCTCATCTTTTGTGGGTAACCCTGTATAGTTCCAACCTCCCAATATTCCAACCAGATGTGATGTTTATTTTATGAAGTAAAACAGCTGAGTCAGGAGTCTACTATTCACTGCAGTCTAGGATACAGATACTAGACAGGGCATGTAGTTAGAATTCATATTCAGGGTTCACTCCGAGGAATGATATAAGCTGGGAGGATTGATAAGGTTCAGCTCCGGGTGTAAGATTCGACAGGATGGGTAGAAAGGGATCTCAAGGTGGGGGCGGAGGAGGTGGGAAGGATTCAGTTCAGGTAGTTTATACCTTACAAAAAAGTTTTGATTTGAAAAAATTCGAATTTATTATTTTTACAAATTTAGTTGCCCCCTGTGGATCTGTACAGGAAGAGAATTGGAAGACAGGATTCAAGGAAGGAGAAGGTTCACCTCAAGGAGGTTAAACAGCTCCAGGAGGCCAAGGAAGGACGAGGTTTAGCCTTGAAGGATTCGGTAATACTTAATATTTACAGATCTTTCAAACTACTGTTGCGAACTTTATCCGTTCTGTAAGTCCTTAAATCCTAATTAAGGTTACTTACACTGCTTGTCTCAAAAATTCTCTTTCTTTGTATGAAACTGTATGTATGTATTGTATACTATAACAGAACAAAAAATACCTAAAAATATAAAATTCTATTTTCAGTTTCTGATCCTTGTTGCAGTCGGAGCAGTGTTCTTGGCTGTATACGCAGTTCTTTTCTTCTCAATCAATTAATCCCTTAACAATCACGTGATCAATTAATGATCACACGATCATTTGGAGAGCTCGTGGTCAATTGTAGATCAATGGATATTAACGATAAAGTGGTCGATTATCGATCTCATGATCAATTAACGATTACATGATCAATTAACGATCACATGATCAATTAATGGTCACATGATCAATAAACGATCATTTGCTCAATTAAAGATCAAGAATGTATTAACGATCACGTGAATTGACTAACTGCAGCTTTATAAACAGAACTGTGATATTCGGCACATCTATTCTACACATTTATCTGTTAGGCTAACTTTTTCTGCTTTAAGATTAGTTTCTTTTTAATTATTTAGATCTTAGTTTTAATAATTTCATAATGTTACAATCAAAGATAACCATGAATAAAATCATATGCAAATTATATAGATTGCTTCAGGCCCCAATATTCAGATCTAAGTGTCAATTTTAATGTTTTTATAATGTGATAACTACAAATTACCATAAATTAACTCAAAATATAGTTTAGAAACTGTTTAAATGATTTTGAGCCCAACCGGACAATATAAGAATACAAAAAGTTTTTTACTTTTTAATTTACAGAACACAACTGCCTAGGGCAATAAACACGAAGCTAACTACTACACAAGGAAGCAATAATATGCCATGTATGAACTAATTGCTCATCTGAATAAATTTATATTAAATTTTGTTTGAATTTTTGTACATTTGTGCATTTTTCTGTCTTTCACTTGATAAATAAATATCTTTATTTACAAAAATTTTTATTGACAATATTTTGTTTGTTACAACATCTGACACAATAAATACGGTTCACAAAATATTTTTTTCAACTGTAAATTTATTAATTTTTGTTGGATTAATATTATTTGGAAAACATAGTTAACTATTATTATGCACTTGATAACTAGATTTTAATTACAATATATTAAAATTTACGGTCTAGGCTAGTGATTAAGATTTAATCCCAATGGATTTGAAATCCGCAATACATTCTATTATAAATTACGAAACCTTTAATTACGATGCTATCTAAAGCTATATTTTTTGACAAACACGTTATTTTTAATTATTAGAAAATCGATATGTGATCGGGACGACATTATTTCGTATTATTTACATTATATAAGGGTTTAATAGTCCTTTGAGCGAGCCTACATCATCCGAGTTTATCGATAATTACGGAGAAAATTTAAATTTATGGTTTTGACATATGGCAAATTTAATTAGGATAGATTCATATTGTGAACTAGCAGTTAGGTTTAAATGTTAAAAATGTTAAATATAATTTTTTTTGTAATAAACTCTTTACAACCGAAGAGTTTACCTATTATTTTAAAAACTATTTACTTGATTAATAATCGATACTATTGAACTATAGGAATAAAATTTTGAAAGACGGTTCCAGAAAAAAATTCATTTTTTTCTGTGTTTTTTTTCGAGGATTTATTAGAGTGATATTAAGAGGATTTCTGAGGATTTAGTATTTCAAGCACAAAATCTCCAACTTTTCGTTAAGAACTGTAGAAAATTTTGTTTCAGTGCTTAAAACTTTATTGCGTGGAGGGGGAGTAGAGTTTACTCCAGAATTATATATTAATGCTTCGGAGATCTAAACGAACTGATATCTTTGACAAGATTGGAGATCTTAGTTTTACTCCGGGTCCTTACTCCAGGACTAGTCCGGCATCTCCAGGGTTATAACAGGGGCTACGGTTTCATCCTTCTTACTCTTTTTCTTCTTCCCTGGTGTATATATTTATATTAGTTTCAAAACAACATGAAGAATACTTTACTTAAAATCAAAACTCCCGTGAAAACCAAACCCTCAAGTTATAAAAATACAAAAATAAACTTTTTGCTCTCAAAGCACACAGCTAAGTTTCTGCATAAAAAATAGCGGGTTCAATTGTTAAAGCATTATAGTTTTAGTTACGAATACCCCTCATCTACGAAATCACCAAATAGCCAAATCAAAAGAAGAAATTTTAGAAAATTTGTTTTTAGATAATGAAATCAGCAAATATTTATGAGCTGTATTCGCTCGATCCGGGACTGGAGCCATTATTTCACAGGGTGAATCCGGATATGCATCAAAATGAAATGGATTCTAAGCACCGATCTCCGCACATGTAACCATAAATTGATAATCAAAAATATTATATATATATGTATATTATATCATAAGAAAATCAAAAATAATATTGTTTGCCTACCTCCCCTGGTACCGAATGAGGTGATGATGAGGGTGAAGAAGGTGAGGAAGAGGGGGGAGGTGGCCGCGAAGTAAGAGATCTTCACTGTTTTGTCCAGTTTATTGGTCAACAGAACCAAGTAAACTAGTAAAGGCACGACTAAGAAACTGTAACCTAAACAAAACAAACATAATATAAAAAATTGTTAGAAGTTTGTCAGTTCCGAATCAGTTAACCAATCAAAACAACCAACTCTGGTTAGGCGGGTCAAAACTACATAGTAAATTGTGATTTTTTATTTGTATTATCTCGTGCTTTATAGTTGAATAAAAATATGAAATATGAAGTTATAACTAGAAATGAATTAAACAATTAAACTTGTTTAAAAGTTTTAAATCTCCCTAAAAAAATATTTTGATGGAGTTGATTATTTAAAATATACAAAGCAACAAGATAAATATGTACTGAGCGTCCAATACAATATTGGATTATCTCTAAGCTTTAACGTCAAAATATGTAATTAAAGAATCATTATCAAAGCCAATATTTTGTGCTTTCTGTTATGTCTAAATATCCCAATTTAAAGCTATGCAATATGCATGATCAAAAATGATGTGGGAATAAAAATAATAACCTAGAGCTGAGTTTGTTGATGATCTGCGCTGGTCAGCGTTCACCTCCGGCATCCTAAGGAGGATCCCGGCGAAGATGATGGTGTAGAGGACCCCCACCAGAGAGATGCACAGGACTATCCACAGGGGAATAAACGTCACCTCCCAGGACCATTTCAGTATACTAAATACTTGGTGTTAAGTATCTCAAATCCACAAAATGTATTTATACATATAGCATATTTTCCTGAGTGATTTAGTAAAAATGATTGCCCAAACATTAATTAAGACTGAAGATTTAAAAAGTTTATATAGTGGGGCTAGGTTTGGGACAACAATGGACATGTTATGGCCCTAAAACGCGGTTAGGATACGCAAGGGGCCCGATGTTTATTATGTCTCACTATATAAAATGAGGATTGAGTACATATACCCAGTAGTTCTCATTCATATTTATGTTACATTTTAAATTAGGCGTGTAATAATCCCAACTCTGTTTATAAATTTGGTTTGTCTGTTGAGTCTGTCTGCATCCAATAAACGTCAAATAACTAAACCGAACAGGTCCTTTCGGTGTTGATGGCCCTCAGGAAGGGTTATGGACGCTTAAAAGTGAAAAAAGCCTGGAAAAAAATGTTTTTTAAAATAATTTAGGAAATTTATCAATTTCAACAGAAAAATCCACAAAATTTTGAGATTTATAATTAGGAAGAAAAATGGCCGCATAAAAAGCAACATGTAAGCGCTGACATTGTCTTTTTCATCTTGTAAAAAATAAAATGCGTAGCCTATTCAAAATAAGTATAAGAAGAGGGAAATCTTATTTTGGATTCAACATAAGCATTTTATCTTTTACAAGATAAAAAAAGGCTGATTCGCATGTACATTGTACATCTTTAGTCGAATCACTTGGCCTTGACGTTAACATACCTGCAAATATTTCGATATCTGGCTCATTCCTGGCCTGCTCGTTGTTGTTATTGTTGTTGTAGAGGCTGTAGGAGACGTTACCGAAAAGCTGAAGACAAGGACATACTCCGAATAGGAACTGACACGGAGGTTTACGTAATCCAAACCAATACTGATTTCCTGCAATAGTTTTATGTAAAGCTGGAATTAAATTATATTATTTTTTTAAATTTTTTTTTTTATTTTTTTTCTGTGTACGAAGTAGCAATAATTCTAACCTTTTTAATGCAAATAATTAAGTAATGTAGGGAAAAAATGAAAAAAATAAATACTGAAA